TCGTCAATGAGATAAGTGGAATCAACCCTTCGGCCAACATTGGGCTGAAACGGTTACACTATCACCTTTCTTTCTGTCTTGGTCCCTCTATTCACTCCTTATCCTCTCATCCAACTCCCGCCCTATCACAACTTTGACTTGCTTGCATTCCACTCGTCGAAAGGTGGGCCCTTTTTTGGCAAGTTTAGTGTGGCCTCATCACATCTGCTATTCACCTTAGACCCCTTTTTCTCAATAGGCTATTCTGACTCGGGCCTCCTATCTGGATCTCCCTCATGGTTCCGTAGCGACCGTACCAAGGGCCATACCATCTTGGTCTTCATAGCTTCAATTAAATGCTATTTTATCTACATATACATTATCGCTTTCAATCTGTTTTTTTGTAGACTAGACTAACTATACAATTTCGCCTAAGGAATTGTCTCACTACTTTGCGTAATTACCTGTTTTATACTTTAAGATGCATTTTTGTTGTTTTTTATTTATTCTTTAACTAATCTACATAATTTTATTGTTTTGTGCGCGATTATAGATATTTATATCATGCGCTTTGTTAATTTTCCTTCTTTAAACTTCGTGTTATTAAGGATGTTTTTATATTCCTTATTTGCCTTTATTATTATTTTTCCTCTTTTTTCTTTAACTACATTCACGACCGTATACTTAATTATTCATACTTTTGCCTAAAACTATTAAGGCTCGTGATTTTAAGGAGGAATTCACTCGTTTGCGCATCTTCAATCATCCAAATATCCTCCCCGTACTCGGCCTCTTCACGGATACTCCTCGCCTTTGTCTCGTCAGTGATTTTATGCCATATGGAAGTCTTTTTGATGTGCTGCATAACCAACAATTAACGCATCAACGTCAGACTAAACTTGCCCTCTCGGCTGGTGAGTAAACTATTTATTTTCTGCAAATGCTCTGCCATTCAAACTTATATGTATTTATCAACACTTTCTTTAATTTTAATCCAATTTCGTTTCTTTTTGATTTATTTGTTATAACCTGAATTAGTTTTTTATAGCGCTTACTTCATCTAACCAGCTTTTATGCCAGTCTACTTGTTCCAAGCCATTTGTCTTTTATTTTGGCTCCTGGTTTTTTTCTACTACGTTTTCCTAACAGTTCAATTGACGTTCATTCCAAAAAATAACTATAAGAGAAAAAATAATTTAAATAGAAGTTTTTAATCTTGTTTTCGCAACTTGGTCATATTGATAGGAAGACTTAGAGGCACGCACCAAGTCCGGAGTCCATTGTATGCATGATCATTTCCAAAGTCGGACCGTGGACGTGGTACATTCCCAGACGTTTGCCAGCATCGTCAATGAGTCTCGCCATTGGTAGCACCATATTACGATTCGTCAAAGAGACAAGTGAAACCAATCCTTTGACCAAAC